GACAGATTCAGATCCCATCTACATCCGTTTACCTACAGGCTCGGGGTGGGAGCCAGCCGTTGTTAAAAAAACTAACGGGCAGACAATAGAAGCAGAGACTGAGGATGGCAGGATCGTTCGACGCCATTTAGATCATGTGCGAACGAGATTGTCCGACCCAGTAAAAGTTGCCAAAACAGAGCAGCCAGCTCAAGCATCGAACGACATGCACGTGCGTGAAGCCGAACCGGTAGCTGAGTCACAATTGCGGCGCTCTGAGCGCCGGCGCCGACCGGTCGATCGTTTCCAAGCTGGATAGCTGCAACTAAAGGGGGGAAAGTGATAGAGACGTTGAGCGCGTCAAGGTCATGCTACACTACCTAGCCTGTGGAGCTGCATTGTGCGCGCTAGTGCGTGAGTGTCCATCTCCCGACTAACCAGCGATGCTTATTGATTGGTTCAAAAGCGAGTGCTTAGCTAAAACATGTGAACTGCGTAAAATTAAACAGTTGGTCTGTGCCCAGTGTAGACTGCCGATGTCCTATTGCCATTGCTTCTACTAAACTTCCATTTGCAATACTGTTGTTCTGATTTCGGTTGAGTGTAACACTAATCATGTGATGCAACTCATCCACTCTGTGTGAAAACCACGCACAGTCGTCAGGAAACAGTAACAATCGGAGAGTTGTCTCAACGACTAGGATCCTCGTATCGAAACGACTGATGTTCAGCAATTCATCATCAATACGGTGCTTCACCCAAACATCGTAAGCACAAGCGGCATCAAAGGCGCACGTCATCATTGCATTAAGATATATATTAACCAGGGCAGGAGCTAAGACACAGCCTTGCTTCAAACCAGAGACAACTGCAAAGCCATCCGAGGTCTCTCAAATCAACTGCACCCTCGCCCGCATACCAGTATGCAGACGGGAGATCAAACTTGCAAACTTAGACGGCAACCAAACTTACGAAACACAAACCACAATGCCTCGCGGTTTACCGTACCAAATGCCTTGGCATAATTAACAAAAGGTGGGCACAGTGGCTAGTGTCGTTCTCTGCACTTCTCTTGCATTTGACGAGACGCGAACACCATATCTTTAGTGTTGCAACTCGGACGAAATCAACACTGCTCTTCCGCCACGGTAGGTTTCACAACCGGACTTACGAGGCGGTTGAGCGAAATTCGGGCAATCACTTTCCTACGCGACTCGGCAGGTTGATGCCACGATAATTCGTGCAGTATTGCTTGCTCCTTTTGCGCTTGTACGGTGGTAGCACAAGGGAATCCTTTAGCTTAGCAGGCACCTCCACCTCAATCCATACGCGTTGCCCCAAGTGGTGGTTTTCTACCCACTGGTCTACCTACCGCTGCTACTGTTGTGCCACAGGCTCATATCCTGGACGCTACCTCGTGGTGACCGCTGAGTGGGAGATGGCTTACGCCCTTCTCCCTTCAAACTAGAGGACACCAATCCGCATGAGTTGTTCTCCTGTCAGGTGTGGGCGCCCTGCCAATATCCTAGTCCATCTTCGGATGTTAGGAAACGGTCGATGCCCGCTTCCCGTAAAACTTATCCATGGGAGACAACAAGTCTACGGGTTATATGCTCACAGCTCGATTGGCGTGGAGCACGAGCGTCACGCAGCATCTCTGACGGTGTGAGGTCACCTTCGGTTGTTTAATCATTTACTACTGCTCGCCTCAAGCCAGGCAGCCCATAGTCAAATTGGTGCATACCCCTAAAACACAGCCGCCTCTGGCCGTGGTCGCCGTTGTATTCTACTAAGGTCGCAAAACATATATATTAATCGTTCCAGTACCTCAAAGGCTGCGTGTGACGGTGGTCAAGCAGATCCCCATCTGTCTCTGCAATCACATTCCCGAGCTGCATCTGCTCCCCACTGCCTGGTGGGTCAGGCTGTTAAGCCAAAGGCTCCGGGCGGAGTCTCTCAAGAAAGCCTCCAAACAACCCACTGCCTTGGGGGTCAGGCTATTGAGCTAAACCCTCCGGGTGGAGTCCCTCAAGCAAACCACCAAATCACCCACTACATTGTGGATCACGTTATTGAGCTAAAGGCTCCGGATGGAGTCTCTCAACAAACCTCCGAAGCACATCCGCCACCTCGCATGCCATTTTCGATCAAGGCAATCGTATGCCTGCGCGCAAAGCATTCAGCATTGAATGCTGGAAGGTGCGCACACTACTGGACCGGAAACCGAGTGAGCGCCGCGAACGACGCACTGGACTCATCGCGATAGAATTGGCGCGCTGCCACATCGATATTGCAGCGCTCAGTGAGACTTGGCTCGCTGAGCAATGTAAGTTGCATGAAGCAGGTGCTGGCTACACATTCTACTGGGTGGAGAGCGCCGCCTCTGCACCATATAAACATTGGGTCGGATTTGCAATATCCGATCGCCTCGATGGCCATCTGGTGCATGAACCAACAGGCATCAGCACGCGATTGATGACTGCTCGCCTACGACTCGGAAGAGGTAAGTTAGCCACTTTTATAAGCACTTACGGTCCGACCATGTGTTATCCTGATGACACGCGCGATCAATTCTATACTCAGCTATCCTATGTGATACGGTCTTGCCGAGGTGCTACCGACTATTTCTGCTGGGTGATTTCAACGCGCGCGTTGGGCTTGATACATCGGTGTTGACAGATGTTATCGGTCCGCGTGGTATTGGCTCAGGGAATGCGAATTGTAACAGGCTGCTCTCGCTGTGAGCCACTCACGGCCTGATGGTCACGAACACTCGGTTTGCACTGAGTGCGAGTGATATAGCAAATTGGACGCACCCACGGAGTGGTCACGCTCACCTGCTCGACTAACTTAGTCGTCGTACGTCAGCGTGATATGCGTGAACTGTGCATGACAGGTGTACTGCGTGGAGCTGAGTGTGGCACAGATCAAAACTTGGTGCGGACCAAGCTGTACATATATTTTCGTAAATCGATGTATTGCACTCCCGCCGTGAATCGGCGTAAATTTAACATTCTCTCCCTCGGTACTGTGGCGAAACATATTGAGCTGGAGAAGACGATGGCTGCACGCCTGTGTGGTGATGTGGACTGCATAGCCATAGTGGGCGACCTGTGGCACCACATTCGCGATCAAGTGACAGCTGCTGCCGAGGAGACCATCGGGCGCGCAAACTGTAAGCGGCCTGATTGGTTTGATGACAATGCGACGATCGGCACATCGGTGTCGGAGAAGAATGCAGCATTTGCTACACATGTTGCAGATCCCAGTGACTTGGGGAAGAGTAGTCAGTTTCGCAACTTTCGACGGCGAATGACCCGAGAGCGCCGTCGCATTAAAAATACATGGTGGACGGAGAAGACGAAGCAGATGGAATGCTACGCCGAACGCCGTCAACACTAGGAATTCTTTGCCACCATGAAGGCGGTGTATGGACCGAGATTGGAGCCGCTGAGGTCACTGATCGATAGCAGTTTAGACGCTAACTGCACATAGACTGCAGACATAATGCAGATCTGGCGAAAAAACTTTGACTGATTCTTGAACAACCGTTCAGAGATCGACTGGCGTGCTTTAAACGGCTTGAAGCACCACGATGTGAAGGCGAGTCTGGCGGACATGCCGACACTGGATGAGACGCAGAGATCACTTGCTCAGCTGCTCAAACGAACTCAAGCACAGCTCTCCTCATGTCGTTGAACATTGGAGCCTTGTTGTGTGTCGTGGGAATTATTGTTCCTATGGGGTACGTCAAATCCAGATTTTTACTCAAGTTCGTTTGTTGCATCCCTCTCCGTTTGATATTTTCTTAACACTGTTTGAATGTTAGGCATAGTTCATTGCACTTTGTTACGCAAAATTAGCACCCTAAACCATGCATCCACCGGATATCGTACGCCACACGTGTGCAGAGAAGGCGATACGACATTGCGATCAATGTTACTTTAGTCACATCGGACACCAAGTGAAATAGACTTTAAGTTGTTTTTATTGCTGTGAATCATTTGTTGGCCATATCCTTCTGCGCATCATTATATGTCATGTACTATTTTGCCAGATGTATTCGAACATTTGCCAAACTTTCGTTATATCCCCACTCGTCTGCACTGATTCATAAAATTTATCTCTTAACCAAGGTTACCATGTACACTGAGGTCGGACCTAGCAAAATCCGTGGAAAAGCTGTCGATTAGTCATTAAGCAAAACTGCACTAGCCACTCGATACAACCACTGAGATCCACGCTCTTTGGTCACGTACCTCCAGACAAACCGGTTTTGCAACTCCTCAGATCGGTTCACGATTTAAAATACTGACCTGTACCTCATTGCAAAATTTTTGTAGCGGTTCGCAAATAAACGGTGAACTTGACACTTTAGCAGAAATATTAAATTTGTTACCGGAAGTACCGGTTGTATCCGCTGGTAGTTCGGTGTTAAGAGTTAGAGCAATGGAAAAGCAAACCATCGGTTCTGTAATTGTCTTTATGCGTCGGTATTAATCATGGCACTGTCATTTCTGCAGTGGCAAAGTGCACATCAATCAAAGCAGCTACCAGATTTGAGCAAAAAGGCGCTTTTTCACCGCTTTATTTTTCCGAACGAAAGGGAGTTCTCAAGAGTTTTAAAAGTTCACTCACACACGAAATCAGGGATGTAGTCTGATATCACCAGCCTTCCGAACTCGTAGACTATATTTCCGGACTTCGTGTGAATATTTGCAGCCAAATGAAAGATCATAACTCACTGGAAGTGAATAGTCTAAGAAAATAATATCCTAAATCAGTTCAATCTGTGCAACGGGATATGCCATTCAAATTCACTCTGTGGAATGGCCTCATTCACTGCATTGACAAGACAGCAAACCGAGAAACCTACCACTCATTAATGGAACAGAATATTCCTGATTCTCAGTTAGTTCCGCGGCTTTTTGGGGGATACGGATGGATTTTTTCTAGTTTATACTATATGGTACGAATGACCATTGACGAAACCCACCCGGATAGTGCGAAACATAAACACACAGTGTACAATTGTGTGTAGTTGTTTACATGGGTATCTTACTGACAGTCCTTTTCGTTTCAGTAACAAGGTTTGACCGCTTGAAGCGAAATCGGATATAACTAGGAAAAACCTAGATAGTAATCAAATCGATTAAAGCAACTCATGGTATCCTGTCAGAATAACCAAATGGTCGTATCACAGCGCTTTGCAGGTATGGATGATGAAAATATGTTCAGACCACTGTTCTTTTAGAGTACGACGGTCTTCTGATCAAAGGAGTGGATTTTGGTGAATTGGTGGAATCGGATGGGGTAGTCGGAATGTTAATTGCTGGCTTCCGCCAAATGTGCTCCGGCTGCACGCGGTCCCCGAAAGCTCCGGACATAAGATGAAGGTTCTTCTCACACAATAACTTCAGCATTTTTACTCCTTTGTGAAGAGAATAAAACGGACAGGTTACTACGTAGTTAACTATTATTAAGACAGTAGGAATCTGAGCATCCTGGAGATACATCAATACTGCTCACATTCAAAAATGCTGCAGTCTACTCATCCAGCTCTTTTTGGCTGTGCAAATATATAGTGTGTTGGTTTAACGGTATGTATCCGAAACTCAGATTCAAATGGCCAACCAAAGGCGTGCGGCAGAACACACGGAAATAAGCTAGAGAAATGTTTCCTAGAAGGTTGCTAAATCTTAAGACTAAAAATAGGGCACCGGAAGATGATTAGCTAGGGTATGTGGTAGGGTGCTGAGCGCGATCGGAAAACCGACGTTCTTTTCGAAGCCCGCGGCCGAAGTCCGGACGTTGTCAGTGTGTCCCATAGAAACACGTGCACCATACATGCATGCAAAGCACTTACTTCCTTAATGCATGAGAAAACTATGATTTCATAGTATTTATGATTGATTTACCCATCAATTGGTGGAATCTCAGGTCACTACAAGTAGGTATGTATTTTTACTGATCGCTGTCACAGAATAAGCGTCTGCTTCATATGGGCTTGCGCGTTACAGTTCGACTTAGCAGGGTTGCCAACATTTGAATTTACCAAAATCTCGAAGACCGACAGGCTGAAACGTTCGTGTTTCTTTGAAAGACAACAAATTGAGCTACCTGTGTAAGCGCCAAATTCGCTTGGGGCTAGAGTGACACTTAAAAATGCCCGGGTCCAACCAAGCAACAAAGCCGGAACGCCAACTATGTTAGTTTAAAACAGTAATCGAAATACAATAGTTATCTATCTCAACAACTACCCGACCATTCCGCAACAACCGGTCTTCACAATATTCAAAAGGAATGCAAATGGTACTTGGCACTGTATATAAGAAGTCTCACAGTACAGAGTCCACGATGGTACTATAAGTTTGGTTCATTTGTTCGTTATATCATGTGGGAAACGGAACGCGATGCGCTGGGCTCTCAGGGTGGCTTTGCTCAGTCAAACAGGGGGGTGGGAGGAACATGAAGGTGCCTAACCCTGCGGGGCTGGAGGATGATTCCATTCTGAGGTGTGTGTGTGTGGGTGGGTGGGGTGATCTGGACCGGTTGCACAGACTGAGCACACGGTCTCCACAGTGAGAGGTGCAATGAAGTCATAGCAACAACGATATGAGTTCACGTGGGGGATACTCGGTAAGCCGGCGCTCATCAATTGGGGCAGGCGTCTGGTTTGGTCATTTAGAACGTGAACCTGACATGCTGCTTGCTACTTACATTATATACCATTTTCACTTTAAACTGGATATTTTTCAAACAAAAGTGGACATTTTGCAAACCAAAGTGGACATTTTGCAAACCAAAGTGGACATTTTGCAAGCCAAAGTGGACATTTTGCAAACAAAAGTGGACATTTTGCAAACCACATTGGACATTTTGCAAACCAAACTGGACATTTTGCAAACCAAACTGGACATTTTGCAAAACAAATTGGACACGTTGCAATCTAAGTAACAACTCGCCAATTTGTTGGTAAGAAACGAGCAGTAAGACTGCTGAATGATGTTCAGCATATACATTGTGATGACGCTAATACACCGGCATTGTGTAAGCAGCGGGCTACACTGTAAAACATTTGCTTGATCGTGAGCAGCGACCGAAGTTCTGAACTACGCTCCCCTCTCCCCATTGACATTCGCCTAGTTGGTGTGCAGTGCCCATACGCATCAACCTGTGTTGGTGTATGACAATTGGAAAATCGGACGTCCGAATCGTAATTGTGTATCAATCATTTTGTGAGTGGATTGCGATGCGCAATCTCAATGTGTACCGTTATTCTCATTAGAGAGAACCTTGTCCGATTCGGTCAATGGGACCATGTCGGATGAAGCAGGTAGGCGGTGTCCCAGCTTCGCCCGTCTCTCTATTAGCTTTCGCAACTGCCACGTTATTGCATCAGCGTAGGCTGTAATGACCCCTAGCAAAACCAGTCTAGATCTATAGCTTATTGTTGCAACATGTCAACTACTGAGGAGTGGGCCGATTACACGATGTTCAGGCCACATTGTGGTCACGATAATGTAACCGAACTGCGTACGTAGCGCGTGATTGTGTAAGCCCTTCTCTTGACATGAGTGCCGTTCGCCTCGGTCAAAATCGGTGACCTATTTTCCCCTACACCCCCCCCATAGGAATTCGTGTGTTTTGTCTGGGTGTGTGGACCGACCTATGCAGCGGTACCACAATTGGAGCTGAGCATACGATAATGGTTCCACTCAACCCAACTTAGCTTTATTAGCTCCGTGCCGCACGAAACGACCAAAATGAGTGACGAACAACAGGAGAGCTGGTGTCCGACGCGACGGCACTGCAGGCGAACATCATTTGCGCAAAGAGAAATTCTCACAAAACTTGTGCTGGTCGACGGCAAAACTACTCGGGAAGCCGCTGAAGTCGCCGGTGTTAACGCGAGTACGGCAAGGAACATCATTAATGCCTACAAGCGAGAAGGCTCAAATACACAGCGCACCTGCGGTGGAAACAATAGGGAGAAGCTGACTCCCAATGTATTGCAGCTCGTCGAAGAAGCGGTTGAACGGCACTCTGAGGACACGTTGGTGCAGCTGCAGATGCGCCTGAGAGAAAATGGGATAAACCTATCAATATCCTCTGTCTCCAACACCCTCAGAAGACTAAAGGTAAATCTCAAAAGTGTCATTACGAGCTCGACCGAGTCAACGGTGCCACGACAATCGCTAGCCGACAGGCGTACGCTCTCGAGTTCTCAGCACATGCACCTTCTAACAAGGAGAAATGCATCTTCATAGAGGAGAGGGGTTTCAACCTTCATCTGAGGCAAACTCCGGCTCGCTCAAGAAGAGGGACGCGCGCGAACGTCGTGTGCCCACAGTCAGAGGTCGCATGATATCCCTGATTGTTGCAATGAATAACCAAGGCGTCATCCATTCAAAATCATTAACGATGGCACCTGCAATGATGCGTAGTTTTCAGCGTTCGTCGAGGAACGGGTGGCGCGTATAAGCTGCATAGTGGAGATTAACGGCGCGTGGCTGATCATGGACAATGCCAGGATCCATATGCCTGATGAGCTAAGGAGGATCCTTGGTTAGTCTTATCACCTGCAGTTCTTGCCGCCCTACTCGTACATGCCAAACCCGGTAGAACACGTCTTTTCAAAGGTGAAAGCGTCGGCGAGACGCCTGCTTATTAACCCTACACCTGAGCAGACGCTGAGCACTGTCATTCAGGACAGCGTTGGGATGGTAACGCAGCAGGACTGCATGAACTGCGTTCTCAATACGATGAGGAACCTGACGAAAGCGACAGCCGGACAACCCTTCGTCAACTGATCTTTGCTATGGTTACTGCGTTATTTTTTGTTAATACACCATTTCAATTTCAAAATGTGCGTTTTCAATATTAACAGTTGGCTTAGCCTGTAAGAGCAGGACGGTCACCGAGAATTCGAGAGCGTACGCCTGTCGGCTAGCGATTGTCGTGACACCGTTGACTCGGTCGAGCTCGTAATGACACTTTTGAGATTTACCTTTAGTCTTCTGAGGGTGTTGGAGACAGAGGATACTGATAGGTTTATCCCATTTTCTCTCAGGCGCATCTGCAGCTGCACCAACGTGTCCTCAGAGTGCCGTTCAACCGCTTCTTCGACGCGCTGCAATACATTGGGAGTCAGCTTCTCCCTATTGTTTCCACCGCAGGTGCGCTGTGTATTTGAGCCTTCTCGCTTGTAGGCATTAATGATGTTCCTTGCCGTACTCGCGTTAACACCGGCGACTTCAGCGGCTTCCCGAGTAGTTTTGCCGTCGACCAGCACAAGTTTTGTGAGAATTTCTCTTTGCGCAAATGATGTTCGCCTGCAGTGCCGTCGCGCCGGACACCAGCTCTCCAGTTGTTCGTCACTAATATATATATATATATATATATATATATATATATATATATATATATATATATATATATATATATAGTCACCGTGCCTCTTGCTGAGGCTGATGTTGCATTCATGATGCTTCCTCACCGCAGTTGGGCTAAACCAAGTTACACTTAAGCTAGGTCTTTTTAATGTGGATAAAATTCATTACGTTTACTTTAATCGATATCGGCATTTCGAATGATTGGCTGTTGTTTGACATCCCAGGTGTGAATGCGCTTGATGTGCATGTTGACAAGTTGCCTACCTGTCTATTACCCACCACCTCGTCCATACTGGCTCCAGGAGACAGTCGGTCGTTGCTGGAGGGGACGGGGTGCCTGGTCCTTGTGGTCGTGCTAGGCTCGAAGAGTGGTTCCATGCACTCAGTGTGGAGCGGACTACGGTCCAGCCACTGTCTTGTGTGCACTTGATTCCCCAAATACAACGTGCCTGAGTTTGTCTGTGAAGGAGTGTGGACTGGCTCCGTTGATGAAACGTGGCTCTCGTCCGCATGCCACCCGGTCTTATTCCTTCGGGTTTACGCTGGATATGATGTGTGTGGATGGAGCTGTGCGGGGTGCAGCGCAAGCCATTCATGGTCCCTCTGTAGGCGCAGGCGTCCTGTGGCTGACCACAGTGACAGGCAAATCCGAAACCGGATGCCGCCAACCATATATTCTCACCAACACGGGTCCGCCATGTAACAATACTTCAGGCGTGATCCCGTCGGCAACGGCACACGCCGTTTCACAGCTGAGCAAGTGCCCTCTGCGTCTCATCCAGTGTCGGCGTGTCCGCCAGACTCGCCTTCACATCATACTGCTTCAGGCCATTTAAATACGCCAGTCGATCTCTGAACGGTTTTCAAGAGACAGTCAAATTGTTTTCGCCAGATGTGCATTATGTCTGTAGTCCACCCGGAGGCTTTGGCTCAATAGCCTAAGCCACAAGGCAGTGGGTGGTTTGGAGGTTTGCTTGAGGGACTCCACCCGGAGCCTTTGGCTCAATAGCCTGACCTACAAGGCAGTGGGGAGCAG